GGGGGCGACAGAGGTCCTTCTTGTCCCCCCCCCCCCCCTTTCTCTGTTTCTCCGGGCAGCGGGAATGGCGTTCAGGTACTGCAGCGGGGTCTTGTCCCAAGCAGGCAGAGAGAGCGAGCAGAGAGAGCAGCAGAGTAGATCCTACTCTCTTTTTTATGGATCAGAGACCATTGTTCCAAAAAGTACCACTGTCTGAAATAGCCAATCACCATTGGCCAGGTACATATTCCGTTAGAGGCAGTCTTTAACCTATTGTCTATTTTTCTGCCAGTTATTATAACCCTTATGCTGCTTCTTTGCTATGCACTTATCTGGTAGGGCAAGAGGCCTGCTCATTCTGTCCTTGAGTGAATCAGTGGAAAGGCGTCACTCTTGTTTTGCTGACTTGAAAGGCATTTGTTGTTTAGTCTTATGTGGGGGGAAGAAGATGGACCGTTCCCCACAGTGTCAATTAAAACAGTGGCTCTCTACCTCTTCTCAGAGGATTCAAATGTTACATTTTGCTTTCATGAAAATATCTTGTGTATTGTTCCCCATATAACTAATAATTGCTTACATATGAACTTTGGGTTGTATGGTTACTGAGAAACGTTACTTTTTCTTTTAAAAACTTATTTAGTTTAAATTAACTAAATTTTAAAAAAATAATTAAAGTTAGATCTGTAATGGGGTGAAAAGTATTAGATGACAAGAACAAAAAAGGAACTTCAGATACAGTGGATGGGATGAGACAGTGCTTTCGACAAAAAGCTTGATCACAGTCAGCCAAGCACCTGTAAGTCAAGTTTTGGCAGGTATTTCATACACTGCTTAACTAAAGCCCTTTTTATTGAGTGATTTATGAAATTATCAACTTAAATACTAAGAAATAGGAAAATCTTTAAAAGCCTTATGTTTTAGAATCACAGAATCACCAAGGCTGGAAAAGACTTTTAAGATCATCAAGTCCAGACTATGACCTAACACCAGCACATCAGCTAGACCATGGCACTTTCCTTGAACACATCCAGGGATGGTGCCTCCACCACTTCCCTGGGAAGTCCATTCCAATGTCTCTCATTCACCCTCTCTACTGAGGAAGTACTTCTTAATATCCAACCTAATCCTCCCCTGGAGCAGCTTCAGGCCATGCCCTCTCATTTTGTTGCTAGTTGCCTGGAAAAAGAGCCCAGCCCCTACCTGATTACAACCTCCCTTCGGGCAATTGTTGAGACTGATAAGGTCCCCCCTGAGTCTCCTCCAGGCTAAACAACCCCAGCTCCCTCAGCCTATCCCTATAAGACTTTCCCTCTAGTCCTTTCACCAGCCTTGTTGCTCTCCTCTGGACCTGCTCCAGCACCTCAATATCCTTTTTGAAGTGAGGAACCCAGAACTGCACACAGTACGCGAGGTGAGGCCTCACCAGTGCCAAGTACAGGGGGAGAATTACATCCTTACTCATGCTGTCCACACTATTCCTGATACAAGCCAGGATGCCATTGGCCTTCTGGGCCACCTGGGCACACCGCTGGCTCATGTTCAACCAGTTGTCAAACAGTACTCCCAGGTCCCTCTCTGCTGGGCCACTCTCCAGCCACTCTTCCCCCAGTCTGTAGCATTGCAGGGGGTTATTGTGGCCAATGTGGGTCTTGTTGAATGTCATGCCGTTGGCCTCGGTCCATTGACCGAGCCTGTCCAGGTCCTCCTGCAGCTTTTTCCTACCCTCTGGCAAATTGACATTCCCCCCCCCCCCCGCTTTGTCGC